GGCAACTACAGTAGCAGTATTGAGGTAGCGTTGCGGGGATAAGTCAAAAGGTAAGGCGAGCTCATGCTCTGGGTGTGCAGTGGCATACGTCCGAACCTTCCTATAAGCAGCTTCGTAGTCAAGTCCGCAATCACGATTCTCATTGAATTCACCCCAAGCCAAACAACCAAGCCCTGCACTAACTATGAGTGGTGCCATCGCGCGGCCCTGCCGCACCGCCACCGCGTCCAGCTTCTCAGGCGTCGCGGCGGACTGCGCGATGAAGCGATCTAGAAACGGATTAATATCCATTCCTGTGAAGATTGCGTCTGAATCCATTGCAATGATCACGTCCTCCGGATGTAATTCCGCATTCTCGACGGCCGTTTGAACAGACTGAAATTTGGACAGAACTCCACGAAACGGCATCTGATAGCCGGCCACCACCACGGGAAACCCACTTAAATAGGCTGAGCCCACAGAATAACAAAGGGATTCATTTATTGTATCACTCATAACGGAAATCACCACGCGAGGTCCTGTGGAGCGAACAAACATATCCCGCTTGTCACCAAGGTGAAGCACTGAAAACACGACAGGGGCCCGCCTCGAAACGCCAGCGTGGTATAGCCAAAGAAATGCCAAAAGCACGCCGATAACCCCAACGAGAAGCAACCGCAGGAGACAAGCCCTAAAAGTATCATTTTCTGATTGTTTTCTTAAATAGTAATTAGGTGGTGTCATTATTGATGATTCCCTGGCCAAAACCTTTCCTGAGAACTAAACCTCTATAACGCAAAATGCATCAAAAGAAATGAAAATTATCGTCATGTCCAAACGAATTCAAATGAGTCTATAAAAGCGGAAGGGAATGAAAATGGGAGATAGCTATTATACAAATTTGAAAAGCGGAAAAAAACGTCGTACATCGGTGAGTGATCCCAGTTTTCCAGACCACGTCTGTTTAAACTCCTTTCTGTCACTCGATCCGTCCTGTCTGATGTCACATGTGGTCATAACTCTCAAAAAAAAAAAACTAGCCGGGGGTCTGTTTAATAGGCAAGGGAGGTGAAGGGGTATCCTAGGTGTCGGCTAAAAAGGGGCGAAGGAGCCTGCACCAGGGGCTCGGAACACCCCTCACAACAGCCCAGCAGACATGGGTGATACAATTGACCAATCTTCAAGCCATGAAATTTAAGTGATCCGGAATGTGATAAGACGGATGATAAGGTTCCATAGAAGGTGCCCATGTTGTGCGTCTGTCAAACTGAACACATTGGAATCTTATCCTCATTGGCACACACTTCTCCGAAGAGATGAGCTCTTCCTGGGCAATCCAGCGAAACAACAGGGAGTCACATAAAGAATAGGACTAGAATTAAACTCGCCACTCTCGCATAAACAAAAATATATAAGCGAAACGCGGTGGAAAACTTGCGATGGGTAAACGCCGTCCGATTGTCAATGCTTATGAATGATGTCCCTGATTACGTGAAACGCGTGCATGCAAGTTGAAAACTTTGAGCCTGTGTGATTTCCGCTGTGATACGTCTTGCTGGGGGGTGGAATTAAATGGATTCAATGTTTCACTAACGAAAATATAATCAGAAATCCTTGTTGCTTACAATACACCGCTGCTCCAAGCAACCCCTCTACCCCACCATCCATGGTCACGGGGGGGGTGTAGTCTTTTCAAGCGCAAACCACAAATCTGAGATCGTTTGCACCCCTACCATCAGAGTCGATGTCTCGCCTTTTACGTGTATCAATCTTTCCTGATATTGTATTTTAAACAACAACATTGGACGGGCTTGTGGTGTAAAGCGAGCACTGCCCCAAATGGAACGAACCCGCGCCCAGGTGCCTCAGGATCGTTCATTATGCGAAGACGTGTGAATTATTCCTCTAATAAAATCGCAGGTCAGGTTGAAACCCATGACCCTGCCCACTTTTCACGATCATAGTCCCCGTGTCCTCGACACGCTCCCTAGAATCCCTAGAAACCCTCTTTTTCCTACAGCAGTAGGCCACAGACCGCCAATTTAAGATCAGTTCCAGCGCAAAAGAAAAAATTCTTCTGAGTATCACTCAGTAACGCAAGTATTGCAACAGTCACAATCATAAAGCCTAAACTCCCTGAATATTAATATACATGTATATATATATATATATATATATATTAAAATCCACGATTATAGATAGTTCACTCAAATGCTACTTTTGCTGTCACACGCACCCATATATATATAGGGAGAGAAAGCCTTGGGAAAATTGTATTTGACCGCTTTTGAAAATCACCATCAAGTATTACGGACGTCTTTCTGGTATAATATCCCTTTAGCTTTTTCGGCAAAGCAGAGAGGGGGCAAAGGTCAGCCCATCCACCCCTCACGACATCAGTTAAGGTTTCTAACAAATTTCTTGAATCCCTGTTTTAACGTTGCTCTGACATTCTTTATTGCCACACTCATCCCACTAGTATTCTCAGTGTCCTGAACTGGGTATGAGTACTGAACCAGGGCGCAGCGCCGCCCCTTTATTGTGATGTAACCGTATTGCTGAAGCAACGCAGGGGCATCCACAACGCAACAGAGGTTGGGATCAAACCGAATAACGGCGACCCGTTCATCTCGGAAGGTCAAATTCGTTTTCTCTTCGTCGTCCATTGCTTGGGGTGAGGCAAAATTGGTTGGAGATTGCACCGCAGCCGCAAAGGCATCGGGCAGGTTTCCCCAGTTTTCTGGCTTCACCGTGATGGTGAGGCATAACGCACTGCTTTCAATGGGGATCTTTCCACGCTGAGCTAACTGCGGAACAACGCCGCTATCCCACGCCTTGCGGACAGCCGCTTCCACCTCGGCGGCCTGAGTGTTATTTCCAAACCCGATAGCGACAAGAGTGCACGCCCATTGGGAATATGCCACTGGCTGCGTTAGGAATATCGGGCTTATAGACGGGAAATGCAAGCTATAGTTTCGACCAAGCAGAAGCTCGGTGTTTCTAAACTTTTCTCCATCTTCAAACATGTTCTCGTATCGCCGCTGGGTCGCAATCAGGGCGTTGGACCCAGTCGAGCGCGTCCCACCGATCCACCGGAGGAGGTTGCTATGCATAGCCTGAGAATTGGTATACAGCATGGCGACGCAATCGCCGTTGTCTACAAAGAGTGCCGCCAAGGCACATGCTACCGCGGAAGGCAACCGCTCTAGGTCGCACGCTTCGTCCCAGGTGTTCAGAAAAGGTTTTGGGACCGCATGGCCGTCATTAGAAACCGGTTTAAAGGATGTGGGGTACGTGTTAGGGCTGTCAACCTCGATGATATCCTTAATGGGGCGAAGCGGTTGCGTATAAGCGAATCCCTTGAACGGGACTTGAAGTGTGAGAAGCATCCCGATGCTCAGCTGGAGACAGGTGAAGAAACAACCCAAGTTTGTACGATCTAACGAGTCCGCACAGTTGATGCGAAGAAAGCGCGTTTGAGCCATCAGGCGATCCACGGTGGTGTCTGCCTTTATAACTCCAACGGACATGATAGAGTCGTTTACAGAGCTATCTTGCCCCACAAGAAAACTCATCGCAGACTGCCAGAATGAAGTTATGGTGAACTCAACGCCGTATTCTCTTGTTAGAGTCAACCAGTCCAGATGAACTAAGTCGATAGTGCTTTCTGGAAAGAGTTTCTTCACGACGGACTCCGCCTGGCCGACCGATTCCGCGAAGTACCGCGACAAGGCACTCTCATCGGGGCTTGTGTTGTAGCGAAGAAGGTTAATGCAGCGCAGTTTAGGAGCGGGCAATGCCACGCCACTCGCATCAGCAGTGTCCTCTCGACACATTTTATGAAGCGTGCGGAATAGATTTTCAAAATACACACTGGAGCCCCGTATGACATCGGACTTTTCAGGGCTGAAAAGCATGCGTGGCTCGGATATTGCCATACTTGGTTGGCTAGTCCAGCGGACTGGGATCGTCCCACGAAGGATCGTGTGTCGAGCATACGCTACGGACATATCGTCCTGCTGCTTCCACATGACATATTCATATGTGTGCTCATTCCCAACAGCGTTAATGTCGTTAAGTCCTCGTCCAAGATAACGAGGTCCAGGGTTCAGGTGGTTCTGGCGTCCTAAAAGTATCATGTGAAGCTCGAAGCCGCCATTTAAACGGCACACACGCTCGCCCACAAAGCCTCGGACCAGCATACTACACGCCCCCTGTAGCGAGGGTGATTGAAAGCGTTCTCGTAGATGATGTGACCAATCGCAAAAAAAGTCTAGCGGTGCTGCTTTGTCCGTGGAAGGGATGAAAGGAAACTGTAGGCGCAAATCCACATCATCTGAGTAGTAATACCCCTTGCTGTCGTAATGAAATTGGAAGTTTTGCAAGCGATTGCGGTCTGTTGAGCTCATTTTGACTGGCAACACTTGAGGCAGAACAAAGGGAACCCATTTTGCCTCAAGTACCTTAAAAATATGCCCATTGAAAGGCAACTTGACTGCCACCTCTATCGATGAAGCAACTAGAATGTAGGCCTTATCAAGTACAACACTGCCAAATAGTGTGTGGTACTCATTGAGTTCGTCAAAAGGTCCGCACTGAGAATACACATCATCCAGCGATTCGAACTCTGTCTTTGGGAATGATGTCGAAACGCGGAAATCGCCGCCATCATCCACACTTAAAGGGATCACCTTTGATCCCCATCGCCATGCCGAGCCTGAAACGTATTTCGAGCCATCGGTGTTTCCATTTGAGTCAGATGCCGATACGTCCGACTCCAGCTTTACCTCGGGTATGTTGTCAAATATCATTAGCGATTCGATGATTGGTTCTGGTGGTGGCGCTGGCTTTGGTACCACAACAAACAGGTGCTGTTCACCGTTTTTTTTCACAATGGCACATCGCTTAGGTAATTTTTGCGGCTTCATTTGTGTCGAAAACACACTACATATATAAAGAGATAAGTGGAAGGGGATACTTTCTTTAGTAAAAAGAAAGAAACCGAGCAAGCGTATTCATCAGAAAATACTCCAACAGAACCTTAAAAATAGACAAGAATTCGAATGCCAGGCAGTTGGAGAGTTTTTTTTCTTAGCAGTAATCCGGAGCATGCAGCGCTCCATCGCAGTATTTCCAAATAATTCGTTGAATTCGACGCGAAGCCTTCATATTTTATAAGTCCCCCTCCCTAAAAAAATAAAAAATGAGCCTGCTCCAAAAAAAAAAAAGATGGACTTCCTGTCAACAACCCTTTTGGTATAGTTCGGCCAAAGCTACTAAAGCATCACGGTGATGAAAAGCGTAAGGTAAATCCACACACCACCACTACCCAAAATACTCAGGACGCATATCGAACGGATGGCATTCCGTCCCGCCATGATTTGTAGTGCTTAGTCCAGTGCTCATCACCAGTATGATTAAGTCCATTGACATTCACACGTGGCTCGTTGCGAACCTCTTTCTCAAGTTCAACTTCTGAAAGTGACTCGTATGGTCGAATTCGCCGTGTGGCCAACGCATGCATTTTCCGGTACTTTCTCCCATGTTCATCCTGATCACCATGCACAACCGCATTAACACGATTTGCATACACCTTTCTGGAAAGACGCTTAAAGGGTTTGTCACGCGTATCAAAGGAAGACAACAACTCTTTTATACCAGGGTTAATAGATGCCTTTTTGGCGACTTTTCTTTCTTCAGCTGACATCAAGAATGTCCTTTCGGCTTCATCCTGTTTCCGTTCTATCTTAGCTTTCAACAGGGAATTCGGATCCAGCGGCCACTGCCCGCCGGTCTGGAGGCCATTCTCCACGTGTTGTGCAATAAATGCTATCCTCTGACTGTAATCCACCGCGGAAGAAGGCCACTCTTCATATCCCTCGGGCTTACGGAGCGCCATCCTCCGCAGCGTGGAGGCGCGTTTTTGCCTTTTGCGCTGCAACCAATGGAAACGCCGCTTACCCTGTCGGGCATCGCGCAGCTCTGCCAACGTTAGCGTCTCTTCGTGCGCCGCCCGGTACATCTTCGCGGTCTTGAGTCGGTCCCACTCCCTTAGACGTTTGTCGCGTGGCAGTCGACCTAGATGAACCCGGAGGGCCTCATCTTCTTCGGTCAGCCCCAAGGAGCCGTACTTGACGCGATCACGGATCGCGTACGGCAACGCTTGAACCCATTCGGGAAAATAACTATCATCGTCCAACATGAAAGCGTCGATACGGGTCGAAGGGTAAATACCATTCTCTTCAACGAGGCGTTTTTGGTGCTTTTCCACCTCTTCATCGGCATCGTCAGCCGCGCGCAGGCTCTGAAATAACTTATAGAATTCTCTAGATGTCGGGGCTTGGCCGAATTTATCAAGCATATGGTCTCGGCGCTCGGCCTCTCGCTTCATGAGGAGCTGCACCTGCGCCGTGTAATCCGCATCCCGAGTGTGCGTGCCGTGGACAACCTCGGCCTCGTCAATGGCACGGACTGCTTTCACCTCATCCTTCGTGAGGGGAATACGATAGCCACTACGCAGTTGCTCCTCTTGATGGGTATCGATATTCAAAGAATTTAGAAGTGAGTTGTGGCGATCTTGTCGAAGCAGAAACTTCTCCTTCCTATTAGTTTTAATTTGAGCGGTTATACTTTTTTTGCTGCGATACACTGCTGGATCAGTGAAAGGATCCCCTTCCTCTGACGGCGTAAGCGCACCTTTATTGTAGTTAATGCCACCTGCGGTGCTTCGCTTCGCAAAGGCAACCTGTCGGAAAGGCCGAAGAAGCACAAAGTTCCGTTTGAAGACAAGCATCACACTCTCTTCGAAAATGAGAACTATAAGAAAAGGCAAGCAGAAAAAGGTAATGAAGAAAAAATGCTGTTTGTTAGCTACATAAATTGTAAATGAATCAAACGCCAAAAAACACCACTAAGATATAAATCCGCTAGATCCCCTCGTTAGTCCTATTTTTTGATCTTAAATCACACTAACACGCGAAACGTTCTTTTTTTTTTACCGATCACAACTTACTTCCAAACGTACGATTAACGAAATGGAAAATATTCATATTTATATGGCCTATATCGTTGAACTGTTAACCTAAAGGAAAAAATGGCTAAATAGAGAATAATATAGAAATGCGATAACATTTCACTGCTTCCCCTCCTCATTTGCCACAAAAGAGATCGCCTCTGTCACTTAATCCTAACAACAGGAAAAGGCTACTAATTCCTCTTGCTTACTGGCTTTTCTTTTCCAATTTGCTTTGTTCCATCTTGTATTTGAGGACACGGCTGCAATTGTATCCATGAACTGACGCAAGGCATAAATTGACCAGCGCTAACGAACGGCTTCCTGAATTCTGGGGTTGAATTATCAGCGCGTAGAAAAACCAGATGAATCCGGTTGAGAACAAAGCAATGCTCGAGTTTAGATCAATCTTCTCGGGAGGTGTGGGATCTGCGAAAATGGTGTATAATGGGACAGCTGAAAGCGACCACTTAAAGAGAGGAGCAGTGTTGTAAACTGAATTGAAGTAACGCACCACCGCATACCTCTCTAGAGGGATGAGGCACTTAAAGAGACGAGGATTGCCGAACCATTTGTGAAAAGGCTTCGGAAGAAACTTAGGGATTGCCTGTTGCTGAACCGCTGCAGACATTGGATTGGATTAACTTCTTACTGGTGTTATTAATTGATAAGTATATTTATACTAGTGAAAATTTCTTTGATATCTTCTATAGTGGAGAACGTGACAGTGAGTTGTGCTTTACAAAAAACGAACTTAAAGGAAAAAATAGAATCTACTGAGACCGAGTCAGATTGAACTCTCAGACGATAGAAACAACCACTCTGAAAAGTCACAAGCTCAATTTGACAGTGAGGACGACAGCAATTAACATAGAGCAGGAATTATAAGAAACGATAAAACGCTTGGAGCATTCTTCACCTCCCTCCCCCACCCCCACACCCCTCCCAGCTATAGATCCACATTTTGCTCGAAAGCAGCAATAGTTTCTTGACACCTCTTGAAATCTTGAAACAAGGGTTCGTGCACCCTAACCCATAAATTGTCTTCCTCTTCTTCGCTATTCTGGCCCTTTTGAGATGCGACGGGCCTACCTTTCCCCTCGTTCCCTAGTTGAGCCAGGCTGGGAACAACCTTCAAACGATTGTATAAAATTTTGTATTGCGGAGAAGTTTGCGGTAAAAGGAGGAGGATCCCAAAAAGGGTTTGAACTAGCGGTATGCATCGAGATGGGGTTAGCATGGCCACCCGGAGAAATGAGAATACAGGTCCCTCAAGCATTTGGGCCAAGCGGTCAATTTGGACAAGAGTGCTGGGAGAAAGCTCAATTTCCCCCAGATACTGGCATATTGCCAACGACAGTCTGTAGGAACGAGTAAGCAGGCATAATGCGAGGAGCGCAACGCCATTGTGATTCCAACTGCGACCTAGTTGAACAAAAATATTGCGCACTCGATCCGAAGACGCTACGCCCTGTTTTAGTAGTTGCCGCAGTTTAAAAAATTCGGAACTTGTCAGCAACGCGTTATTCAACGTGATAACGCACTTGCAGACAAAGCGTTTATCTGTCATTTCAGGAAGCGTGTTGCATATCGCCACCAGTAATGTCTCGCAATGATCTTTGGTCTGGTCGCAACTCTCTAAACATACCTGCATCTGTTTTAAAATGGTCGATAGGCGCGGAAGTAGAACCGATGGGGTTTGCCTAACCATAGAAAATATGCCCTCGAGGAGCGACTTTAAATGCTTCTCCTTTGTGATGAGACAAAGTGCCTCGATTGCTTTGGTGTAAACCTCTGCTAATTCATCACCCAGTAACGTAAGAATCCCTTTTATTACATTGTCGAAGCTGCTCTCCACAAGTTCCACGTCCTGGTGATGCAGCAATGTGATCCACTCAAGTGCGGCTAGGTGTGCTTCAGCACACCCCTTCCGAACACCTAGCAAATCGGTGATCGTGACCAAAATATTGGAAAGCGGGTTTCCCGAAACTTTATTTCCTGAACGAATGACAACAGACATGAGCTCACTATTAACACGCTGTGCTGCCTCTTTTAGTTGGGTGTCAAGGGAACTCACGTGTCTCAGCGCGCAGAGAAGCATAGCGTCATAGAGAGGTATAAGTGAATCGAGCGCCGCAGTCTGAATACCCTGATCTACAAGGTCACTCATCCATTCGAAGCATAATCGTTTGGTCAGAGGGTATTCAATGGTGTAGGCAGTCGATATGAGGATACGCAAGATGATACAAACTGAATCCGTAGAGGAGCCTCCTGTCTTGAGGGCCTTTCTGAACTCGGATCTACAAGTCTGCAACAGCTTCCAGAGTACGTCCTCTGTAGTTTTCATCGGTAGAGTAAACAGAATTGAAAGGAATTCCGGAAGATAATCTATAAGATGGTGCCTAGGCATGTCCAAGACATGATTTATCCATTCCAAAACCCACTGCACCACGAGTGATTCCTTAAAGCCACTCGTTGAGGATCGCAACTCAGGAGGCAGCGATACGCTGCTGTGGGGTTCCAGGGTTTCACATACGAATCGCACAAACACCCTGAGATCAAGACTAAAGTCATCGTTTCCACTCAAACGTTCACGAACCATATTGGATATCTCACGAGCAAGAAGGGCCACACGACAATCTTTGTCATTTATTGCGCAAGACAAGGCTGCGAACAGCTCTTTAAAAACAACCTGAAGGACTTGCGTATTTAGTTTTCGCAAAAGTTCATAAGTCGCTTCAGCAGCAGCCACACGAACTACTGGATCACTATCCATAAAACTGTTAAAGATTGGAATGCTAAAGAGTCGTACAAACTCAGGCGGATACGACTGCGAGGGTAATCCCTTCACAATAGAACGCAGGGCAACGACCCCGCCATGCCGCTGAGCTGCTGAAGGGGTGTTTAAAAACATCTCCTCTATCCGACTCCTCTCTACAAGGAGCTTCTGGCAAGCATCCTCTGGAGGGAAATCACGAAACAAGGCGTCAGTCTTGGTAATCATGAGTCGAACGCCTTTCTGGCGATTCTCAGCTTTACTGTCCAAAAGGTACTTTTGCACCTGATCAAACACATTGCCCTCCATTCAAATTCGAGTGCTTGATCAAGAGAAACACCAGGCCAAATACCCTTGTTCGTTCCACTTTGCGATTTGTTCTTACCTTCTCTTACTTCCTTTATTTCTTTTATCGACTAGACCCTGTACAATAGTCTAGGTTTTAGTACATGTAAAAGCAACGACACAACGCTTGTGAGAATAATAGTATAGTAGAGAAAAAGGAAAAGCTATGGATACGTCATCAAAGACTCAAGCAACGATATCCCTTTCATCTGTGTTATCTCCATCATCATTCGGTTATACTGCCCTCAAATGGGACATAGCCTATCTTATATAATTTTGCTAAATTCTTCATGAATTTGGTGTACCTTTGATTCGTGACTTAAACCTTACTAAACGATATTTCCTACATTTTTCCTCGATATAAACGTGTATAATAATTTCCATATATATATGTATATAAGAACGAGCTTATGTATATCCAGACATATATACGTATAGATATGCATATGATAACAAACAACCCCTTGTAATTTAAAAATGCATAGCACATTTCCCCAACCCTTTTTACGTAGTCTGAAAAAAAAATGTATTAAACATAGCCCGTTTCGTCTACTTCATTCCATTGAAAACGAGTGTTGCAACAATATAGCGTCTTACAGATTCAACACTAACTCTAAACATTCCAATATTCTTTTAAAACCAATTAAAATGAGAAACACCAACAATTATATGAAAAAGAATGAAATATCGTACTGTGTGCTAATGAAAAAAATTACCACAATAGGTGTCGATGATAAAGAAACTGATGATGCTTACGAAACGAAAGTAAAATAATGAAATTAGTAAATTCAGTACACGCAGTTTTTTTTTGTCTGCACAATAGGTAAGAAGGAAAAGGAGAAGTGATATCAGAGTAAGGTTCTGGTGGAGCTACATAACAGGAATCATTCACCTTGGCACTAGGTGTAGAAACTCAAGACCATCAAGAGCCTTTGACCAAACATCCTACTTGAAAACTGCACCTTGAAAGTCCCGAAAACAGCATAACAAGCTCCCTTGTTTGATCCCGTAAAAGGCAACCTTACGTCAGTTGTTACTTTTCTTCATTCCCAGTTTATACTATCCTTTCTTCGCAAAGCAAACTAAACTCCGAAGTTGCCCGTCGGAAAATAGCCCCATTAAAAATATTTATAAGTAAACAGATAAATATATACAAAACTTTGTAAATATGAATCAAAATGAACCCACCTTTCCTCGCTAAAACGTTCTTTTTGTTCCGCTCGAAATGACACTCCCTCCCGAATTACATTTCATCATTTGGCTCTTCTGGCAGACCACGTGTGCCCGTGGCGCGGGGTGAGGTGCCACGTCGCACCGATTCCTCAACAATGCGATTACGTCGACGCTCCAACTCACGAATACTTTCCTTATTCTTTAGAGACAGAGTGCTCCTTTCATACGGGACATGTTGCTGTGATTCTGGATTTCCAGCGGGATACCAGGGTTGGATGAATCCCTGTGATCTTCGTGAAGAGTCTCCATTATCTGTGGACTGGCGACGGAGACTGGAGGAACCAGACATTTTGGACGCACGTGCGCGGTCTGAATGCACGTTACTGGGTTCTGGTGGTGGAGGCAGGTACACGGGTTCCACCCTAGACTTTCCGATTTGGCGGCGCGAGCCACGAAGGTCATCGGCGACGTCCGTCTCCTTTTTTGGTTTGTCCTCTGGAGGTTGGGACTCGACTTTCTGTGGTTGCAGAGGAGGAAGTAACCTGCCTCCATCTTGAGAACCCATAGAAGCCGATCTGCTTCGGCGTGCACGTTCGGCAGAAAGCGACTTACCTGCGTCACCCGATTCAGAGGGCGATTTCTGCATGTCGCGTGCACCAGTAGAGGGAGACCTCCTCACGTCACGTGACTCAGAGGGCGATTTCTGCATGTCGCGTGCACCAGTAGAGGGAGACCTCCTCGCGTCACGTGACTCAGAGGGCGATTTCTCTTGCCGGCGTAGTCTTTGCTGATCTCCTAGAGAATCCCTGTCAAGTTCATCATCGTTTTCATCATAAGGATCAATCTTATACCTGTCGTCTCCTTCGCCTTTGAATTGATTCAAGTCGTCAACCGGTGTTTCGTATGAACGAGAGTTCGCGTCATTTCGCTCCAATAACTCATCGTAGATTTCACCAGGCCTCTCCAGATCACTTTCACGGTCGATTTCGATTGGCCGCCTGTCCTCAGCATCTTCGTGTTCCTCTTGCTCCTCGGAAACCTCCTGCTCTTCAACTTCTTCGTCGTTCTGAGATAGGCTGTCTTGGTCAGCAATAAGCTTCTGCGGTTGATCTGGGCCGTGGAAACGCCTGTAACTCAGCACGACCTCACCACGATCCTTTTCAGGCTTGGAAATCTCATGCATTTTTACAATGCACACACCCTCATCTTCCTGACTGAGCACACAACTGCCAACCGTAACTGGTAAATTCTCTTCTTCATACACTACCAGCTCCAATTTATTATCATCGCGAGCCACTCCAATAAATCGAACCTCTTGATTCCAATGAATAACGTTGTCATCACTACCCTCATCTTTAGACCTTGGTGCCATCATTGTGGTGCCCTCCAAGTTCTCTGTAGAGATGGCCAACATGGCTTGCTCCAGTGGTTCCTGTCCATGCTTACAGAGGTTATCACCGCGCACAACAGTCACGAAAACGGATTCTTTTGGCACTTGTATGAGCTCTGGTTTATCGTTAAGATCACTCAGTGAGTGCTTGTCCCACTCGACGAAGATCTCACCCCAGAGAGCGTCGTCCTTGGACTTTGACTCAATAAGTAGCACAGCGTTACCACGCCGATGAAGCCGTCCAAAGTCTAGCGGCACAGCACCGATGACCAGAAGCTCCTCCTCCTCATTGGCCAAGCCGCTTTCCTCTTTAGGAACGCAGATCAAAATATGACCAAGCTTCTTGTTTGTGGTGAGCTGCGTTCCCTTGAACGCGTTTTCGGGAAGGTAGTGATAGCCTTCTTTAGAAAAGTACGGCGAAAACGACGTCTCCTGCGTTGAGCCGAGGTTATATAATATGGACTCGGAGCAGTTGTCATCAGTATCGCGTAGCACGCACAATACGCCGCCAGCGAATGGTTCACTGCCGTTGTCGGTGTACTGGAAGATGTGGTGAGTCACGAAGCTGCATCGGACTGGCTCGTCGAGTGCTTGCTGTTCGATGGCGGTCTCGTCAATGCGGTCCTGCCCGTTCTTGCTGATGTACCAGGACACCACAACAGAGCCCATGGTGCCCTCTCGTGAAATCCCATCCCAAAGAGTTATTTCAGCCGATGCATCGCGTCTTGATTCGATGGGGAGTATCGTCTCATCCCCACTCGTAGCATCCTTCACCAACTCATTCGGGATTAAAATGCATCCCAACAAGTGGTCACCGGGTATTTGATCGTTCAGCACCAGTAACTCAAGTGGCTCATTTGGATTCTGATACGGGAACTCAAAGAGTTCGTCCCAGGTGGTCAGGGCTCCTTTCTTGAGAGGTACCTTCGCGGTCTGCCCCTCGAACCCACCACAACGAACCACGACAGACATAGGATCACGCGGTGAAGCGGCAAGGTTCTTACCGTGGTGCACCGTAACCACGAGCCTCATATCATTTAATTGGTTCTGGCGTCTCCGAAGCTCATCCAAAGTCGGTGGCGGCGGCATGTTCGGCTGCATGTTGAGGACCTCATCATCCTCTGGAACCCACTGTGGGGGCCGACGCCCACTCTCAAAGGGTAGTGGTTTAGCCCTTTCATCAAAAACGTCCAGCTGGAGGATCCTCCGGCGCTCAGCCTCCTTCTCGGCCTGCACCATTTGGAGGAGTCGATCGTGTTCACTCAGCTTGGAAAACTCACTGCAGCAGGGGCACAGGTAAACTTCTGGCATCTGCTCATAAGTCCCGTCTGGTGGGAAACCTGTACGGCGGATCAGTGATGCCGCTGTGTCATCTTCGTGAGGCAGGGGTTCACCAAAAATAGACATGGTTTCCGAATATCACTTGCTCAAGTCAACCGTTTTGTTCTTTTCTACTCCCTTATTTATTTAAGGAGTGCACCTTAAGGTGAATGATGAAACTGCAGCGAGGAGCGTGTGAAGTAAAGAGACAACAGTGAAAGAATGAGGGCAAAAATTAATAAAGAGAAAAAACTATAATATTGCTCTAAGAAAATAAACTAATATTAATGTTCAAATTTGACTCTAGATATACAATCAAGGAAAGAGAAGAGTCAAAGGGGGGGGGGGGGGGGGGAATTTGAGCCATATGAATCAAGCGCATAAAACGGTAAACAATAAAACCTCACACCAATATCTGTGGTGAGCCGGTTGAAAATGCAAAAGAATTCTTCTATGAAGGAAATGGTGAAATTAGGTTTGCCTATTGCTGGGCTATAATTCAACAGCAGCAAGGGATATCGTCTTATAAGGAAAAAAAAGGGCTCATTTTACATAACGAAACAAAATAACCAAATAAATTACACATCATAATGTAAAGGGAAATACGCTGTAGATACATTCGCGCATGAATCGCTGATTTCCTACTTTGCCTTGCGATCATTTTAGGGACAGCAGTACAAGGCAATGAATAAGACTTTCCAAGCCTTTAATGGACAGGATGAGTGTAAATGTGACCCCCTTTACGGCGCAGCATCGCAATCTCTGCACTCAATGCCGCAATCTCCTCTTTCTGAGAAATAATGAGCATGCTCAAGTCCTCTCGTTCCCTTTGCGTCGCGATCAGTGACCCGACAAACCGCTTTTCAGTCTTCGAGGTGTTTCGTATCAAGGCTCGCTCAATAGCCTGTCGATCGCTTTCATAATCACCAATATCCTGGAGCAAATGCGTATTATGGAGCACCTCACCCTGCAACTGCCTTCGTAAGGCGTATATTTCGTTCTCCCGCTGACGCACTTCGCGCGCCCACTTCAGCTCTACGCGTCGCAACTCCTCCTTCATGGATTCTATGCGTTGACTCGTGCCACACGATTCAAGCATCCCCAGGTCTACGTGCCGACCAAACTTGAGCATCATCACCTCACTCACTCTATTTTTCCATTCCTCATACATTTTGAGTGATTTTGACATGATCTCCTGTATTCTACTCAGTTCGACAGACATATCTAAGATCATTTGGCGGCGCTTCGCTTTTTGTTCATCCAATTCTGAAATACGGGTCTGTAGCCGCTGTAGCACCTCTTCGGCAACCACTAGCACCGGCTGGCTCGGCAAATCACTGGGCAGCTGCAGGTTCTCATCTAAACACAGCACCTGGCTGCAATAAAGAGGAACTACGGTGTCAAGGAGATTAAGGTCCCGCCGCTTCTCATCCTCCAGATCCTCCTTTTGCTTTTGGCATGCTTTGATTTCTTGGGTGCGTTCCCTAATAACGGCTTCACTTCTCTCAAGACTCTTTTTCAATTCTTCCAGCTTCAGCTTCATCTCCGAGATGTCATTCAAAAGGTCTTGACGCCTCTCGCGTAGTCGAAGAACCTTCTCCCAGTGCTCAACGTCACAGTGGGCGGGACAGGCCTCTTCCTTGATTTCATCATCATCGTCCGTGTCGTCGTCGTCGTCGTCGTCGCTGGTCACATCATCATCGATGATATCTTCATCCGCCTTTTTACGACGCTTCAAGGTGCGGTTGAACACTTTCAGCACGTAAGGAACCTTGTCACTTGGGAAAGATTCCTGGATAAACGCTTCGACCTCTTGTCTAAACGCCTTGAACGAATCTTGCTTCTTTGCTATACTATTTTCCACATCCTTGGTATTGCCCTTAATTTGTTGAACCTCCTTCTGCAGCGCGTCGCGGCTCTTCCTGGCTGCTGTTCGCTGACTACGTAGGGCGCTGTCGCGTGCGCGGTACGTAAGCAACATTTCGTATTCGTTAAATAGCAAAAGAATGTGTGCATCGGCGAGACAGAAGTCTGCGTCTAAGTCTACGCGCTTACGAAACAATTTGCAGAGCGACGTATCAAAGTCACTCATAAGGCGCTGGCATTGTGCCGCAAGACGGCGCCGCTCCGTCAATAATTGCTCCTTGTGTAGTGTCAGCTCTTCAATTTCTAGTTCACTCAACTTGATATTTTCGATTTTCGCCTTGAGCTCCATGTCCAGCCGCTCACGATTTACAGTAGCCAAACTAAAAGTGCTATGTCGCATCGTACGTTCCATCCTGGAAAACCTGCGGCTCCCCCTATACCGGGTCTGCCGGCGATCCATAACGCCAGAATAGCTGCCCATTTTTGACTCGTCATGTTGAATTCCAGCGAGGTCTGCACCAAAGCCACGCTGTGCCTTTTTGGCCTGCTCTTGTCTCTGCCTTTCTAAATTCTTCCGCACCAAAAACGCATCCAGATCCTCCCGAGTCATCTCGAAGATACGCTCTGGCTCCTCTTCGTCCAAGAGTTGTACGACGGCTGAATCGACACTATTGTCCTTTAATTCCTTGTTAATGACCCCAATTCTGAACCGTAGAGCGTTGATATGCCTAAGGCATCCGCGCTTTTCCTCTCGAACACGCTTCAATTCTTCATTAAATTCAGAGCGTTTATTGACCAAAAGCCCCTGAAAACGAATAATGTGCTTTAGCTTCCCGCTCGACGTTGGGTAACACAAGTCGTCACCTTTGTAATTGAGATCAGTACGGAGGACGCACTCGCCGCGTTGCTCAAAATCGATTTTTCGCAGCTCCGCCAGCTCGATCTCCGCCTTCTTCGGGTCCGGTGCCTCTTTTAAGAGCCGCTCATAGCCGATGCGCCTTTCCTCCCTGGCACGCCGACGTTCCCCAGCCTTTTGAAGCTGCTGCACCACGGTACTTTTTAGGTGGATATCACTGAATTGGTCTGCAGGTCTCTTACCGGAGGAACTGTGCTTAAATATTATGCGTTGGGCGTCCACTTCGCCTGTAGGATTTCCGGCGCCGTCAGTCTCAAAAGCGCCGTCCTCCACTCCATCTGCTTCAACGGTGTCACGGCCCTCATTCTCATCCTCGCGATCTTCCTCGTTTGCAGCGTCAATATCCTGCTGCATTTGTTTGATCATCAGAGCAGGGTTTGCTGTTCGAAAGGAGGCCACCGAGAATTCCCTGGAAAACGCATGCACGCAAAAACGATCCCAAAGCAGGTTATCCAAAAAGCGGTTCCTCATTTTCTTGGTGCGTACCTCCTCCCTAGCGGACTTTAGTGCCCACTCCTCGCGAGCCTTCTCGATACGTCGTTGCATTTCTTCCTCCAGTTTTTGCGTGAGCCGCGCGTCGAGCTCCAGTTCTGTGTCGTCGAGCTGGAATTCTTCAGACAGTTTACTGTTCATGGCTAGAACGCGAGTGTATCGTTCGTTTAAAGCGGACACTTTGCTGTAAAATTTATCAAACTCTTGTTTCCTCTCAGCCTCCTCCTTGGCCCTGTCTTCAGCCTCCTTCTGTTCCTGAATCGAGAGAAGGAAATGCGAGGCAGCCGGATGGGGGATCGGCAGGTCCTGGGGAGGCGAAAGACGCACCTCTTTGCTTTCTGCATCGCCTTTGACATCCGGTATGAGAGGCACTGGGGAGATCGTCTGAACTTTTGAGAAGGCCATATTGACATTCGAATGCAGCACCGTCTTATCTTTAAGGAGTTGAGCCACCATCAGCATATCTGTACCAGTCGTAATGACCATCGAACCGTCATAGGACACACCGACGGACGTGATATGGCCCTTTGTGCTGTCGTGGGATTGGCCGATCAGCATCGGACGCGCATCCGGCTTGTCGCATTCGAACATCAAGACGATTGCCTGCTCGCACACCACAAGTAGCTTCCCGACCTGGGGACCGCTTCCCACGAAGGCTGAGTGGGGTACACAGTCACGGTAGCACAGGTTGTCACCTGGGTCTTCGACATAATCTGGCGGCTCCACGCCTGTCGGTGGTAACGGAGGAAGAGCACATCTCCCAGGGTAACGCACAGAGCCTTGATAACGGTAAACGAGCTCTTCCTTATGCATGCCAATAACGAGGCCGCCGCTAGCAAGGCATCTTATAAAACTGACTGGCCACGGCCCATCATCCCTTTCAGCCAATAGATCTTCCTCCTCCTCAGCCTCCTCGTTATCCAGTCGCTGCGGGGGAAGCCTGCGCTGGCGGATCCCCAGTAAGGCGTAGCTACAAGGAAATTCAAATGATTTGCTGTTATCTACTTCACCAAGCCGTGGCGCGTGGATCGCGAGCACCTCCCCTGTCTCGTAACCAACAAGACATCCGTCACCTTCTGCCGCATCCCATTCGAGGCAAACTGGATTTGGAAGTGGCAACCGACAGAACCCACACGCTTCAAGTGCGTCATAGCCCTCAGAAACTTTAAAAAAGAATATCGTGCCATCAGTTCGAGATGCAGTACACAACTGCCGCTCACTGTGATCTAAGGCCATGGCAAAGAGGCCACCGGTATGGGGACGCCACGTCCCGAGTTCAAGAAAGCCATCCTTGAGGAGGCGAAGCAGACGGAGTGTGCCGTCGCTGAAGCCACACGCAATGACAGAATCGTTGGGATTGGAATGGAAAAAATACAACGCTACTACAGAGCTAGGAGTCGGCTCTGTGGACGGCCATACACTGTGATACACCTCCTCTCCTTTGACATAATCAAGCAAGCGAACAGCTCCATCATCGCCACCGGTGACCACCACGTGTGCTCTAGGCGATAGCGCACAGCATCTGAAGGCTCCTCCGTTGAGATTTAGTCGGCGCGAGATAATCGAAGAGGGAACGGAGGCTGAGCTAGAGTCCCGTACCTGAAGGCTTCCAGAATAGATCTCCGCCAGCGATGGAAAAGGCGTTGTCCAGATAGTACCCTGGGTATCCAGGACAACCCACTCGTTTCGGGAGGTGCAATGGGTGACAGAGCGAATCCTGCTTGTAGGAGAGATACAGACCTCAAGCAAACACGCAGGGGCGTATAACGGTGGCTGTCCACCCTCCCCTTCGGCTCGCTCTAGCTCTTGGCAATTCCAATACCGCATAGCGCCATCCTCACCTGCACTCATCGCAATGGCCCCATCATGTATCAATTCAATCACCGTGATTGGTCCGCTATGGCATGGCTCCCAATCATATTGAACTTGCACAGACATTAAGTCTAAAGAAGTCTGATATAATGCACCGACGAAGCAGCACCGTACGAGATCTCCCTCCCATATAAGAAGACACCCACTTTCGGAACCGGACAGAACCTTGCCATCGCGAAATACCTCAAACCCTGTGATACTTGATATCTCCAGAGATCCAAACTTCCCTAGCGTCCCTTGCAGCTTCAGCCCCGTGAAGGAGTGGGCCATAGTCCAGAACTTGATATGGCCTGAGCCGCCCGTCACCAAAAGTGCATCGTCAAAGGGGCTAAATCGAACGGTATCAACCTCAGCCCCGAAGCACTTGCTTCGCAGGATCATCGACTGCTGAGACCAGTCCCATATCGAAAGCGTGTAGTCGGGAGAGCTCCCTACTGTGGCAATGCGAGTACCAGCCTTATTAAACGCACAGGCAGCATAGCCCTTTAAGCAGCCACCTTCAAAGGAAAACACGTGTTTCCTAGACGGCCACTCGTACGCAAGCAGCCGTGGGTTTTCCGGGCGCCGTTCACCGACTATGTAATGTGTACGCGCTGGGTGAACTCCTACTACGCCCACCGCACCATCGTCGGGACCAACTACGTACTCGATTTTCTTGCTAATAAAGTTAATAAAGACAACGAACTTCCCAGAAGCCATCACAACAATGCCGTTGGCTATTGATAAAAGTGCGTTGTAATTCGATGTGTCGACACCGTAGTGGGAGTAAATCGAGCCGATGCGTTCTATTGAGCCATATTCGTGAACAGGCTTACATTTAGTGGAAATAGTCTGGTTCATTATTTGGATGGTATGATAACGTGTTGATGTCACGCGAATACAACAGCACGCAGGCTACGTGCCCCTCTCTTGAACCCAAATGAGGATGCTCAAAGTGAACAAACGATCTACGTTAATATATGAAATCGTACAAAATCTGTTGCCAGATATACACTGAAAAAGTAAGAAATGAAAAGAAAAAAGAGACAAATGAAAAGAAAAAGCATCTATACAAGTGTTTTACATAGAGCAAAAGTAAACCATAATAACGGTAATGAACGTTTAGAAGCGTACACGGGGAGCTACCACTTTGTTCTCTGATCCCTCCTCCCCACTCCACGCTTTGTGTGTGCAAGGTTGCTATTGAGCTGCTCGCTTGCTGAGGCGTTGGAGGAGGTCTTCCAATAAGATCACGGGTCGTATCCCCTTCGCCCTAATCGCTTCAGCCACATGGGGGTCACTACACATGAAGGCAACCTTTTGGTGTCCAGCCCGCCGCAGCCGGTGAAACAAATCACAGGCGATTCCGGTGCAGGTGTTCCCCTGCAACTGAATAGAAAGAGACGGTGGAAGTACGGCAAACCAAGCCCCATGCTGAACCCCCCAGCCTCCCATGAGTGCTAATGCCTCCGGTGAAAGCTCACCAAAGTGCTCACTCAGGGCCTCGAACGGCAGAATCGTTCGCGTTCCACCTTGGCTAACATACATGTTCATCATGCCTACGAAGGCCTCTTCCGCACGAGGGTCGCGAGCTAGCGAGTTTAATATGCTGGCATCCAGCACATTGAAGTGCGCTTGTGGCGCAGCCGAGATAGCAGAGGCAAGAACAAAATCAATAGAAATAGCGCTACCTTCTCGGATGATTGGGGAGCTACGAAGGGACGCAGCAAGAAAAGTCCGGTCATAATAATGTTTGGATTGCATAACGTTGTTGGAACTTCTCCCCTGTGAGAGTGCTACTATGGTCGCTAGATGATTTATAGACTCCATCAGCTGAATATGCTTAATACTAGCTGCAGCGGAATATCGCTGCCGGCGGCTAGCTAAGTAAGAGCTAAGCAACACCGCACTATATTGTGGATTGGTGGATCTCTTAAGTAGGATATGGAATACCCCGATCATCTTTGCAGCGTCAGCATCCGAGTCAGCCAAGCACGTACCAAGGGCACGACAAAGGGACGAGAGTGCCGCGTCCTCCATGCTACAGCTTGTCGGTGCCAGAATAGACTCAAAATGTTCAAGACACCACACAAAAATATCCTGCGGCCGGTAACAAAGCGTGGTACTGAGCCTTGACGCAATGCCTGGTATGGCGTTAACCACCTCAACCACACGCAGAAGCGCACATAAAGTTGGGACGGATAAAACACACATGGAGAGAAACAAAATATACAGACGATGGTAATCATGGCATGCATCACACAACAACAAGACCGAATCTAATGCCTTTGGTGCGAGCTGAACCTTTTGGGCATAGGCGTACTTAATCACATCGCCGCTAAAAATTAGCAAATTTCGAAGCTTTGCAGGATCAGGCGGTGTCCCTTTGACGTCGTAGATGGCACGTGCCGAAGAACTACAGAGCGCGGTGAGTAGGTCGGTCAAAAAGGCGCTCAACTGCAAAGTGCATGACCCGGAAATGCTTTGATTTCGTCCGCTCAACAACTCCTCCTGAACGAGCTTCATAGCAGAATCCAGGGGCTTCCGGCTATCCAGCAAGCACTTCCCGAACTCAACTATTAGTTCTTCGCTGAGGTACTTGCTTTCCCACCGTACCATATACATAACACTCTCCAGCAACCCCATAAAGTGGTCATCCAGCGGCTTCGGGAGCCCCTGGGAACTTCGCGCGAAATCAGAACTTAGCCGCTGCCACACCGCTGCTGGAATGGCTGTGCCCGCACGCAGTTTAGTCTGCAGCAGCAGAGCGACCCGCATAGCCCTTGCTGGCTGGGCCTGCAATGAGTTGATAATCTCTAATACAGTGCTCAAGGACAGTGGATCCCCCTCAACGATCAGATCCTCCATGATATCTAAAATCGCATCAACCTGGCCGTCATGGCTGAGCGTCCGAATAGCCCGATTAATTGCCGAGAGGCTGGGCCTCACTCCAAGCCGGCGATCCAGTGCAAACCTCGCACACATTTCCTGTGCGCTATGCGGCTGAGACAGCCAATAATACGTTGACAGCTGCCGCGCGGCAATCTCAAAGGAATCGTTCAGCACACGCGGCAGCGGTGTCACCACATCCGAGCTGTCAGTCACCTCCTCATAGCGGCGTCGCTTGTTAAGAAAGAAGTCTGTGTCAGCACCGGTCCAGCGCACGTGACTACCAAGGGTGGTTCCAGTGAAGCAACGATAACGAATATGCTTTGGCAGGACTGCGACTCGGGGAAGCTCTTCGGTAATACCTCGTTGCGAATCGTCCGCGTCGCCCCAGTTGTCATCCATGACTTTGAATCGGCAATGCACCTAATATTGTCCGCTGCACCCACAAAACCGAAATTCTGTTAAATATGCTGCGCTGTTGTTAGAGAATGACAAGTCCCACTGTGAGGGGACTAGGTCAAGGAAAGAAAGATAGCAATGAAAAAAACAATCGGCCTTAGCAAACATTACTGGGCAGTAGATCTACCCATATTTTTTCCATCCAGTTATTGCACTCAAGATAAATGATAGTTCTACATGGAAAAGACAGCGTTTCACAATTTGATCTTTGATCGTGTGGCATTAGTGGCGTTTGGCAACTCCGCCGGTAAATGTGTTTTATTCAACATTCATGAAAACAAAAAAACAGCAAGTGTAATACACACATAAGATTGTAAGTAAACGATCAATTGCAAAGCAAGAAGTTAGTTCTCAAAACTATGCTTTAACCAGACAAATAATATTAATACAACATAACCGTCGGTTAGGACACTTACTGTTGAATCTTTTGTAATTTGGATGCCCCATTCTTTTGATCCTAGTATTAGGGTCCTCATTGACAGGGCGCCAAAAAGTCGATCACAATGATTCTATATAACCACCAAGAACACAACTAGCGAGCATAAAAATTCGGAAGATGCCAAAATATGAACGTTGCTCGTCCAGCAATAAACTAGTGTAGCTTAATTTTAGGTCTTATGCAGTAGGCACACTAAGCCCCTCTAAAATGCCCCTTTGAGTCTACGTTGTGCCCTTTCTAAGGCTGCCTTCTGAAGCAGTGCTCTAATATCTATATTCGGTGTGCTTATAGGGGGATTAGGATACAAAAGATCTAAAGGAGCCTTTCTCTCAACGAGGTTATTCGTTTTCTTGCTGTATCGAGGCCAGAACAATGGGTTGAGACGCGTTGAAGTAACGACTGGAGCCCCAACGTTTGACTTTTTGCTCGCGCTCGGATTCGGAAGCATGTTTGAGGAAGGATGCTGAGGAGCCCCGGCGGACCTGCCTGCGTTGCTGTCTACATCCATATTCGTAGAAACGGGTGCAGGTGAAGACTTAGGGTACAACAGGGGTTGGCTTGGTAAGTACCATGGCAAACCCTCACTACACGCACGGCGTGAATCACGAGACCTACTGACGTCGGCAAGGACCCGCTGCTGCTGTGAGGATGGTGTTTGTTGGTGCTCCTTCCTCGGGCGCCGTTGGTAGCATAGAAGTTCATGATAGAAACCATCTAGGCTACTAGGGTTATGCTGGGAAGAATCGGTATTGCGGGTTGATGGATGAAACCTATTGCAAGCCGGTTGAGGTGTTGGAGCTGCATTCAGTTTATTTGCGAAGGTTGGCAAAATTGCTGATGGTCGCGTGGTGTTGCCAATCCCGCCTCCCGGATTGTGCGACTCCGCGTTAGAGCCTACACATTTCGGCGCTTCCGACGTCGCGCAGATCTCCCCTGTCGGAGCTACAGTGTCGGTGGTACCGTGATCCGACTTGTGGGGTGGTACCCCCCCCAAAGGTGGTGGTTGCGGCAAGATCGGTGGCAATATGTAGGCTTTAGTTGAGTCTCCAGCGCTATCTTCGAGTGAGGTGCATAATTTTGCGGCCCTAATAGGTGTTTGTGGCCGCGGAGCTGCGCGCATCACTGACTCGGGAAGCAAGTTTCTCTTAAGAAGCGCCCCTATGTATTTTGCAGGAAGTACATTGTCCTGAAGCCACGCTCGTAGCCGCTGCTGCACTATGGGAAGCTCTAAAACATCGCTCAGCTTCATACGCTGTGATGGATCCTTCATCAAAAGTTGCTTCACAATGTTCCTCAACTCCACAGAGTACGCAGTGGAGATGGGTTCATACTGCACTTTGAGAATGCGCTGCATGAGCCCTTTCATATCACCTGCACTAAACGGTTGCTTGAATGTCAGCATTTCATAAAGGACGACCCCAAGTGCCCACACATCACTTTGGTGATCATAGGGCCGCTCGAGAAGCAGCTCAGGCGACAGATAATACGGCGTTCCTACGAATGTTTGAGCCTGGTCATAGGTGCCATTTAGCATTCGCGCAATGCCAAAGTCCCCCAATTTAATCACGTCCTCACTCGTGAGAAAGACGTTTTGGGTTTTAACATCACGATGGAGTATCTTGAGTTGATGTACATAATGCAAGCTTAGAGCAAGCTGTATAAACCAGTCTAAGATCTGATTTTCACCAAAATTGTTACCACATCTCCCCTTTATACGAGACTTAAGATCACCACCCTCAGCGTACTCCATTACAATACAAAGGTGGTCCGATTTTTTGGCTAGAAAGCTATCCACGTAATCGATAATGTTCGGATGGCGCAGATGGCTAAGTAGACGGGCCTCGTTGAGGCTCTGACGCCGCTCTTTTTTACTCATCCGCCTCAGATCCACCTGCTTAATTACGTAGTAGTTTCCATCGACATTGTTTAGGGCAAGAGCACATGCACCCATGGTCCCTTTCCCGATGTTGCGAATTTTCGAATATTTATCCATGATAAATCTATGTCGCCAATGATTATGCTTGCCACTCAACCTTCTTATACTCGGCTCCTCCTTGTTCGAACCTAAATTTACGAGTATAATTTTAGAATTTGGAAAGAGCCCAAATTTCAAATAAATATTAAGATAGTTGTGAATTTAGCGAGCCAATGAAGGAACACACTCTTCCTATTAAGCATGCTATTGAAAATTGTATTTACGTCAAACTAAACAAATAGACTGTAGAAAAAAAAAAGAATAAACCATCCGAGAGGAAGGAAATCACTATACATCACGGGAATAACAACTACACATATATATATGAATAAATCCACCCTGATCTTTTATAGGGGGCAGAACACAGAATGAAAAAGAGCAGTCGGAATGCTGCATAAAGCCAAGCATACTCGAAAATGACAGTGTTTGATAATGCTAAATTGTTTGCTAAAAAATGAATGATTTGTCATGGTATCCCTAAGTGTGAAACAAAAAAAATGCCGTTTTTCCGAGCTCCATCATTTTGGTAATTCTCCCTAAACTACAGAAGTAAGCGCTAAAAATAAGTTAGCATCAATAAGAAAGTGCCACCAAGCCACGCTGAGTGGCCTACAACTCAATACGCCCCTCTCCCAGGTGTTCCTCATGATTCAGGTCATACACTCCACTACTATGATTTCCTCAATTCAGCATAAGTTGAGCCGTTAGGCCCGCAAGAAAGACCGGTGCAAGCCACATAACGTGAGTGAAGAAGACAATATAGTAAGCAATAAAAAGCCATCCGGCCATATGCGCGCTGGTATGGCTGTTGTATCCCAACATTGAATAACCAGATGCCCAAATTATGGTGAACACAATGATCATACCCCCAACCACACGATCCACCACAGACTCCGTAGACTGCTCCGTATTAATCCAGTGGCGCATGAACATCTTCCCAGGAACAACGGCCGATACGGTGCGTTTCATTTGCTGCTGGACAAGTTCTTTCTCGGCATCTGTGAGTGGATGAGAAAATATCTGAGACCAGTCGTGATGTGTCACGCCATGGGAAGAAGCGCGGTGTGCTAAAGACAACGCAGGGAGGAAGCCTACCATGCGCTTGTTAATACTCGTCCTAATCGCATGTCGAAACATATTTTTCTCTCTGTATAAAATAAGATGTACTAGTTAATGAAGAGGATTCGCCTACACGACAAGTATTGAAATGAAAAAGTTTTTGAAAGCCCAGACGTCATATTAATCTCAAAAATATTGTTAAATTCATTGTAGATTTGTAGTTAAATTGGACAGTAGTTAGATTATCTGCCTTTCCCTTCAATATGAAAAGAATAGTTAAAAATGACACGAAGTTGCTTACCTACCATTTCGATTCATTTTCCTCCTCCTCTGCCTACCTATAGGCTTTATAAATTTCAAATGACTCAAAATTTGAATACTGTTGACACACCACTGAAGAATTAATATAGACGAAAAAGAATTTTCGGAGTTTCACTTAAATAAATAACTCCTTTGAAATCATGCAAAGAGTCTTCTTTTTAATTCTACATAGAATCCCACGGTAATCTCTACATCATAGCAAATACGTTGGACGATAAATAAATAAATATATACATATATATATATATAGATAACATAACAATATTAATAAAAATAATAAACATGCCAAAAAAAAGAAAGTGGGAGAAGAACGCAATTAGTAGTGTTCACAAGCAAACTTACTAACATCGCACAGGATAAACTGCAATTTTGCACATAAAGAAAATATAAATTCACGAGGACACTTTCTGGAGAAGATATGTCATGAGAGCTGTATTCAAAAACGAGACCATCACCACGATGAGGATTTCGGTCACCCCGTGCACTATCAACATCGTAAAGGTCTTCTCCAGTCCTTCGCGTAGCGACTGCTCACGCAATTGCATCAGCATTTGATCATCATGCAATCCAAGAAATAGGCCATCAGAAACCGTCATAAGCTTTCGGAGTGGATCCAATCGTGGCTTCCACCGCTTTAGGGAGGTGAAGCCGATATCCATCTTGATTAATTTTTTCGATGTTGAATATCGACTGTTGTCAACACAAAATGAGTATTGCTGTGTTGTGCGTGTGGTGAAGTATACCCGCTCGCTCTGCTCATGCTCGCCAGCAAAAGATGCGTATAGCGTTTTGTTTTTAGAGTCACGAACAAACACGTCGAAGTCAATATCACCCTGAACGAGTTGGTAGTGCATCACGACACCCTCAAAGCGGTGATGGTTTGATGCATAAATGCACACCTCCTCGCCTCCAACCTCAAGCATGAGACTGGTTGAGGTGGGCCTCATCTTCAAGGCCATGGCTTCCGGAACAGTGTATCCTAATGCCAGTACAAGCAGTGCCATGACCGCAAATATTGCATTATATCTGGGCATAATACCTTTCGTTACTAAAAGCGCTACTCCACAATCTTTTTATATATGCAGTGCTTGGGTAAAAGAAAGGCAAGAAAGGGGCCGTAAATCAAACACATATGTGTTCAATGAGTGTTCTTCACATATTTTTCTCATCTTTTCCGAATTGTCCCGAGTGAAGAAAAAAACATTATGAAAATTTTTAACCAATTGTAAAAACGATACAAACCATAATACTCCATAAAAATAATCCTTTTAAATCCAAATACTGAGCTTAATTTACCAATCTATCTCAGAGCGTTAGAAAAAAAATGAAAAGGGACTACTTTCAATAAAGATGGAATGAGAGCCAATTCACTTCATACTCCACCTGATCAACAACATTATTAATTTTTAAGAACCGTGTTGATGATCTCCAAGTTTCTCCACACGTTAATTATAGTGTAGACTACTTTTTCTTAAGCTTATTTTCAACCTTTTTAAGCGCCTGTGTGAGGTCCTTCAACTGCGGTGTGGCTAATGCAGTACGTACGCTTGCCGTAAGTTCCAGTAACTTGTCCCTCACTGCGGCCTTTACGTCAGCTGGGTGAAGTGCGCCACTGCCGCAATCCGCCTGCAGTGCATCCGCAGTAGAGTAAGAAATATTTCCGCCATTGGCATCGGCTCGTGTGATGTCTACCGTGCCGCACTGGGACAGAATACGCGACGCGATCGCGATTACAGGGTTCCAGGATTCATTTGGTGCGGAGTACGCCCTCTTGATTTTGCGTCGGATGTCCATCTCGTTGTCGTCAAGGTAAAGCTGGGACTCAGTGTTCAGTGGCTGCTGCTGCTGCGAATTGGAAGCGATAAGTGGGCCACTAAGCAAAGGAATGCCTCCCCCTGGTGCCTGAATTGATTGCACGGACCCATTGGTAAACGTTTCGGAGAGCTCCGATAACTTGCCGTCGCACGAAAGGTTGATAATATGGGTCGCCTCGAGGAGGACCGCAACCGCAACCCGCATCAAAGCGGCGATGACCTGCCCGGCGTTATTTAGGCCGCCGTAGAGCTCCTCGATGTGGGCAAGAGAGTTCTTACGGCCCACGTTTATGGTGGTAACCCAGAAGTCATTACTGTTGGCGAGAATAAGCTCTTTCTCTCGCACCACTTTTACTACGGATGGTAGGCCGTACACTTTGAGAAGCTCCACGTTGTACGCCAGCACCGCCTGGATATCCTTTTCATCACCAGTGATACAATCAGACGTGAAGGCCGACCACTCGGGAAGAATTACGCTTACAGTAGTGTCCTCGTGGTCACGCAAAAAGGCATGGGTGGCGTCGAGGATGCTGTTGGCGGCATCCAAGGTAAGCCTGAGCTCTGCGGGGAGCCATACGCAGGCGTGTGGTCGTCTAACAGCCTTTGAAGGTGGTGGAACCGTTGTGACTTTATTACAAGCCTTTCCGATGGCTCTAACCTGAGCTAGCAGCTCACGAGCACTAGCATCGTTTTGGAAGTGCTGACGTATGGGCTCAAGAAGAACATTTATCTCACGAGCAAGGCCATCCTTCAGCTGCTCTTCCGAGATGTTACCGCTAACAAAGGCGTCCTCAAGCTCCGTGTAAGTTGCAAAGGTGTGTCCCTCTATGGTCGTCGTCGCGCCGGTTTTTGCGAAAATAATACATTGATAGTAGTCTAAAATTGGATTGGTGTTGTCATTCCTCTGCGGTGAGCCATCCTCTGTGACATCAGCAGTCTTCTGTGCGACGCGAGGGCAGTACGCCTGGCGCACCTTCCGCTCGACATCCTCGACGCTGTCCTCGACGAAGATGGCGCTGTCAGGGTCACTTTTGCTCATTTTGGCCTGACCCTGCTTCAACCCAGACAGCATATGGTGCGACAGGATCACAGGTTTTTGCTTCCTTCCGATAAGGTCGCAGTACTCGCGGGCTAACATGTTCACCTTCCGCTGATCCAGCCCGAGCTGGCAGATGTCGGCCCGCAGGAAGAAGATATCCGTACACTGCATGAGAGGATAAAGTATCTGAGCACACGTCAGCGTCCCCTCGCCCTTTCCCATGATCGTACAGCACTTTTTAATGCGGGAGATGGTGTTTCGCCGGCCGATGTCAAGTACCTGCCGCCAATAAGCCTCCGCATGCTTCGCGATCTCCTCCCCGGTCCAAAGGAACTCCACACGAGACATGTCCATCCCAACAGCCTTCCACACTTCAACAAAGTACTTGCCGACGGTGCGGATATTCTCGATATCCGCACCAAGCTTATCATTCATCAGAGCAAACCAGTCAGCCACCCAAAAAACGAACGTGCAGCCGCAGGACGTGCATTTGTTAACATTCAATGCCTTGAAAATGCCCTGTGCGATGTGCATGTGACCTGACGGCTCAAACCCATCATAGCACCGCATGTTTGACTTCTTCTCAATAAGACTCCTCAGCTCATTTTCCTGAATGCATTCCTCACCTACACTACGCAACAGCGCATAACGCTCGTCGTTCGACATGGGCTTTCCTTCAGAGGACATTATGGAAGTAATTCCTGAAGCGCACCTTGCTTTTTGACAAGAAGAATTTACAAGTTTTGTGGCTAATGATGATGAAACGGAACGAGTCAGGCAATACCTACGGATAAGTGCGTTCTTTAGATGAAGCGTTTTTCTCTGTAAATCCTTTTGTTAGTTTTTTTTCTTAACACGAAAAAATCAGAACTTTGGCTCTTAAGTATATGATTGTGCTAAACCATTTGGGGAAAAAAACGGCAAAAATAACACAAACCAATGTAGAAAATAGTGTTAGTAATAGTAGTAGTAGTAGTAGTAGTAGTGGTGGTAATAGTACCAGATGATAGTGGTGTGTTGTATCTTCACTGTAGTAACTCATTTAGTATTGGCACGGCATCAGTGAAGAAATAATATGCAAATGAGGGAGAGAGAGAAATAAAGCATCACGGCATTTATGATCTAACACCTTCTCCTTAGAAGAAGAAAAAGCTTAGAACTTTTTTGCATGTATAGAGAGACCCACTAAACCGAATCCCAAATTAAGGCATCCCCATCGGTTTCATTCTCTGCTTCAAGAGCCTGAGTGGATAGCCTGAGATGAGAGACGCTGCTGCGGGAAGACACGGAGTCTACTGTATGGTTTGACCAAAAAATGGATGTTGCAACTGTCTCCTGCAGGTATCCCTGGTGAAGCTTAAAAAGGGACGTCGGGTTGATGGACTGGACAAGGGCTGGCTCCGATTCCATGGGTACTGCCGATGTGAACGCGTCCGGGCGTGCCCCTGCGCCACTGTCGAGACCAGCACGCGAACCCAGGTGCAGCGAAGAAGGAAACCCGACCCCCTGTGAGGCCACAAAAGGATTGAGTAGACCTAAGGCGTCAAGGCCGCACGGCAGGAAGGCGGTGGGGAAGAAGTTTGCCGTACAGAGAGACTCAAGCTCGTTTTCTTGGACTGCGTGATCGGTTTCGATAGCAAAGAGCTCAGCACTACCTGCTGTGGTGTTGCCCATTGCTGGTATACTGTCATCCATAAGACGCTCCAGGATGTGATTCCACAGCCCGCGATAATACGGATGCGCAAGATCGGCCCCACAGACACCTTCCATAGGGGCAGTACTGAGTCGACTGCTGACGGCCATCAGAGAACTGCAATGGGCAATGGCACGCTGCCGCACAAGTTGAGCCACAAGAGGCAGCAAAGATAGCTGAGCGCTCTGCATGTCGGCCCGCAACGAAGCAGGCACGACATGATTAAGAAAGGCATCCAACTCCTCGGGTAGCGGGGATGATTCGAGGGTCTTTGAAAGCCTTTCTAAACGATCTGTTTTGGTGCAAATCAAGATGCTTCTCACCGGGCACACTGAATCGGGCGGGGTTCGCAAGGACTCCGCATTCACCTCGTCCAAGCACACGCTAGGGCTCACTAGCGCCTCCTTCAGAGGTCCCTTCGCAGCTAGCACCGCTCTCAACGATCTCAGTCGTTTTTCCTGCCTCATCCAGTACTGCTGCTGAGACTCGATCATCTGAATACGGCGGACCTCGTCTTGATTTGGTAGGTGTGTCGACAGGAGCTTCGAAACGTGAGCGTGCAACGCGTCATAGTTGCTATCTAGTTGAGCCTGTATCTCGCCTGGACGGCTGACATCGATCACGAGAAGCACCACCGCCTCTTCCAAAGACTGCAATGACGGCAACGCAGAGAAGAGCGCGCCGGCGGTATCACAACAGAAGAACTCGACCGACTGCCGGATGAACCCCGCCTGCGGGGAACCGCCACCGCCGCTGCTGGGGGATGCGGCGCGTCGCGGCACGCGTTGGATCACGTAGTCGTGTGCGAGGCCTGAACCATGTGGGAGACGGTCGCTGCCGTGTGTTGCCGTCATCGCGCACGGCGATTGCGAGAAACTAGACATCGAAACGACCGAATCCTCCCGGGGATCGGCGCCGATGAGCGGGCTGTCAGCGTTGGAGGCGGCCGCCGGGACGTACAACGGGCGGCGGGTCTCCTCGTTGACGGTGGGGTGATGACTGTCCTCGCCTAGCGTGTACTGCAACTCCGATGCACGGCGCAGTTGACTGCTCAGGGTTCGCTTCCCACTGAACATATTTCCCAGTAACACTACGCGCTTGCTCTGATGCAACAGGGTAACGGCGTCCGGAGAGGGCAAGTCCAGCTTATCCCACAGAGACAACGCCGATGGAGTAGCGGTGGGTGCAACCGTGGGCTTCGTCTCCGGCCACTGTGGTGCTAGATTAGGGGTGGACATTTCGCTTTTACTAGTGAACAGCTCAGCGAGTAAGCAAACAAAAAATCTAGAAACTAATCTATACTAGAATCACTGATAAGGAGAAGGGAAAGGATCACCGTATAAAATAGACATAAGGACATCTACACGAGGAGATGAGCAAAAGGGTCAAAGACATATATCAAAAAAGAAAAAAGTTGATGGGAGCTGAAAAGTCCTGTATGGCCAGAGACATCATGTCGTAGTGTGTCGACTAAAACAGAGAAAAGTTGTTCGCTACAATCAACAAGGATCTCGAGTAGAAAAGATGTTTTGACATAGATCCTTTGATTGTTGTGATCTAACGCAGAAGGATGGGATTGCCGAGTTGGTGCTGTGATTAACCATAGTTAAGACAGCCATGAATCCGAGATAAAACTCTATTTGTCGAATGTAACAACGGAAGCTATCCCAAGCTAGGCGCAATGGTCGATGAAGCAGGCAAGTTCCTCCCTAGTGGTATTGATACGCTGCCATGGTGAAATCACAAAATCCATAATCTTGTAGATACGGGCAGACCTTCCATTGCGTAGTGTTCCGGTAACTGTGCTAAAGCTCGCAACGAAGGTGAATTGGTTGGACCCACGACGCATACGGTGCACTGCACAACAAATACACACCAACGAAATCTTTCAATCTTTTAAAACACTACCATGAAATGTGTGAATTAGAGCTGCATTGTTTTCTGAGAAAAAGAAGTGTTTTCAGTCAAGAGCTCGATTCATTCACCCATGCCCTCTCAGACAGATGGAAACACCACAGGCCACGAGTTAGAAGACCGTTAGATACGTACACCAAAGGAGCGTGTCGGGCACTTTACATGTCATGAGCGCCCTACTACTCAGAATAGAATGCTGTGTAGAGAAAATAGTTGTGTGGGGAGAAATATAGCCAAAGAGTAGGCAAAGTTTGAAGGTGCCAAATTAAAGTGCTACTTTATATATGTCTACACAGAAAGAGGAGAAATAAATAAACAATAAAGGTAGAAAATCATCGCTACATCTGTTCCTATTAGGGCAAGAAAGAAAAAAGGAAAACTATTATCCAAGATAATAGCTTTGCATTGGTAAGAAAAGAAAAGTAAGCTTTTACATTAAGCGATAAAATCATTGAAACATCACATTTAGTTTTTAGAACCCCTTCCTATCAGTTCATCTGTGACTTCATTTGACCTTTTTCTCACTTACTTTTCCTTATTATTCCTACCTAAAGTGAAAGAAGGTCTGACCACCGCCGCCGCCGCCTTGCTGGTGAAAGAAATGTTTCGCAAACTCCTCAGGGAAGCCGTTAGTGGAGAAATGGAAGCGCTGCCCGTAGAAAGGTTGCCCACCCCCGCCCTGGCCTTGCGGACGCATCACATCCTCACCGGCGTCGTAGCGGGCACGCTTCTCTTCGTCCAGTAGAACTTCCTTCGCCTCGTTCATGTCGCGGAAGCGCTTATCCATCACGGAGCGCTCCTCATCCGATAGATCCTTCGAGCGGAGCTGGTCTGGGTGATACTCCTTGGCGAGTTTACGGTATACGCGGCGAATCTCCTGTGCAGAGGCTGTCTTCGGAACGCCGAGAATTCTATAATAATCCTTTCGTTTCCCGTTACGACGGATATTCTCGATTTTATGCAGTAGACTATCGGCCTTGTCGCTCCGTGGATCGAGCTCCTTGGCCTTCTTTGCCTCTTGAGTTGCTTTATCTAGATCATCCTCCATCAAAAAAAGCTCCGCCAGATCTAAATGTACATCGGCGGCCGCCGGGCTCGTATCGCCAAGAAGCTTTAGCGCCCTCCCGCACTCCTGATGGCCCTTCACCGTATCCAGTAGCCCGACGTAGGCCTTGCAGAGCCATGCACTCAGCTGCTCCTCATTCGGCGGGTGCTCTTCCTCCTTCATTGCAGCGGTGATCTCTGATACGGCCCGATTGAAATTCTTCTCAGATATCGAGCGAGCGATGTTCTCAGCATGCTTCTGCTGGTTACGGACAAGACGGTTTAGCTTTGCGCAGGGGGCGAACTCCGGATTGATGGATAGACAGCGGCGTAGCTCTGATCTGCATTGATCAAGGGATCCTAGGCCCCGCAGAGCTTTGGCATTCAGCACGATCGCCACAAGACTCTGAGAATCACGTGCTAACACACGCCTGACCTCATTGCTAACGACTTGATTATCCCCAGCCGCCAGCGCGCATGATGCACGACGCAACCGAAGGTTTAAGCTATCCATTGCAAAATCACGAATAATGTGCTCTAGCAACTCTACACATTCCTCATACCGACGCCGCATCCCAGTATTTTGAACGGTGGGTTGATAGTCTATTAATGGGGCTTCCATTATATCAGATAGCGATTGCCACCGATTGTAGTAGTGCTTGAGCTTAACCATTTGGCTTTGTACCTCTCTTCGCTTATCTACCTTGCCCAACAAATCGTAGACCTTCACAAGCTTGGCGGAATCCAAAAGGGCAGCCTCCAACGCCCCACGCTGCACATTAAGCGATACGCGCAGGATCAGACCCTGAAGATGCTTTGGTGATTGCTCGAGCAAGGCATCTAGATCGACCAACGCCGCCTTGTATTCACCCAACAAGGCAAGAAGCTGGGCACGACTGTACAAGGCTCGCTCACTACGAGGACTGCGCACGTGTGCCTCCGTGTACTTTGCAAGCGCCTCTCGGTAGTGCTCACGACCCCCACTCATGGCCTTATCGCCAGCAGAAAGGAGAAGTCTTGTGGTCTCATCGTCTGGAGGAGATGCGACGACAGAATTGCCGATAAAAAGCAACAGAACAAGGATGAAAAGAAGCGGTTTGAACTTCATGTAGGAGCTTGACGTCGCTCTCATCCAAATACCTACTTTAGGGATAGAAAAAAAAGAAACAATGATGCCAACACAACCTCACCGAAAGAATTCGTCTTTGTTACGCTGTAATATGTTTTCAATCACCTAAACAATGAAAACTAGACCGTAGGTGGCAAAATCCCTTTGATGCCTCTGTCACAAGATAAACAATACCAGCTGAGGAGACGAGGTCGCAGCGCTAAGAGTTAATAATAATAATAATAAACTATATAAACTTTCCTATTACAGGCGAATTCAGTTGCAAAACTTATGTCGTCCCTATGTATCTATTGCTTTTGGATTGTTGTTCTTTCAATAAACCCCCTCTCGGGAAGAAATGGGATTGTAAGAGGATCAAGGTAGCTTAGAAGACGTGACGAACACAAAACAAAAAAAAATCAATGATTGAGTGGCAAGCTTTTAGAATGCATGCAAAAAGGACATATATCAAGGCTGGTGTACGTACCCACACGGTTTAGGTCTACCATTAATTCTCTGTTTCAAGTTGTACAGAAGTATAAAGTAGGATCTTGTACATATTTAAATGAACAAGCATATGCTGCACTAAGGAAAATGTCACTTGCCATGGAAAATCCTTCCCCCACAGTGATATTTCCCTACCTATCCTGACAGATCGACGAACGATAAACAGATGCCGTTAAGCAACATAATCTACCATTGAACGCCTTCAAAACTGAACGTGTCCGTCCCCTATAAGCACTACAGGTCCAAACCAGAATGTCAGCGAAATAGTAATGAAATTGTTTCATTACTATTATTTTTGAGGGGGGGGGAGAGAAGACGGGGGGACGCCTTTGTCAATTTGTCATTCAATCCCTGTCATTTCGATTCAAGCCCCTTAGCATGGATAGGATAATTGTGGTATTTTCTTGGCATGGGAAACAGAAAGACATCGTCCAGGTGGCTCATAACCAACTCCTCACCGTATCCTTCACGCTGAAATGCTATAACAACCCCCAGCCTAAACGGGAGTGCACCCATATTGAGGTCAAAAAGAGTGAATGCCTACACCTCCGCGCGCGGTGACTCTGACGTACACAAACTTATTCGCCAGTGGCGAAGCCAAGGCACACCAGAAAAATATATCGGCAGAAATTCATCACAGAAAAGCTAAAGAGGAAATAAAAAGGAAACCCAACACGAAGATGATCCAAAAAGGTGCCTCTCCCGTTATAACTTAAGACTCATTCGCTTGGCTTACAGCGTCTTCTCCTAGTCCTAACACACCTCTGCTATAAAGCTCCGATGAGAAAAAGGCAACTGACCATCGCGACGGATTTTTCACGTCGGTGAGCTTTTCCGCGGCCCGGAAGGCATCTGCGACGGTGTCGAAACGAACAAAAATACGAAGCCTCTCGCACGCCAACTGTGCTGGGGAAAGGCTTCGGGTTTTGAGGAGGTCCGCCTCCTCCGCCGGGGTCAGAACGTACCACCGCACGCCCTTCACCGTGCCGTACATACCGCACACCGCCCGCGCCTCCTCCCCGCAAAGCGCGTAGACCCTCTCGAGGTCCTCGGCGTCGACGACCGTCGGCGGATCCCGCGCGTAGTTCAGCAGCAGGGTGTTGCTCGGCTTCCCGCGAATGGCGGGGCCGCGGGCCTCGCCCAGGGCGCCCCCCCCCTCCCCAGGGGCCATCACGTACCCCCCTGCCGCCAGCGGTGCGGGTTTGAAGACGAGCGGCGCGCCGCC